TCAGGTAGGTCTCCTAAGCTTCAAGCTCTTTTCATGTAAGAAGCATAGGATTTAGTATGTTGTCATTATCTGACACTCAGATTCACTATGTAGCCCCAGTTGTCCAAGGGCTGGGATTCCACGTGTGGCACCACATCCACCTCACAGACTTCGTTGTAAAGGTCATGTGGGCAGATGCCACTTTTGTCACTAGCTGAAATTAAACTAGCCTCTGAGGAAGTAATTGCTTCAGATGGTCAAGAAGAGGGGACCAGCCTCAAAAAAGGGGAACGAAAGGACAAGAAAACGGATACGGTAGGTGTTTCATTAAGTATTTGGGCCGCCAGGGAAGCAGCCACTTCAGAGGCCCTTCCTTCCTCAAGAGCTGGGTCTGGACACTGGCTTGTGAGGAAGGAAGCAATGAGTGCTGTCTGCTCCATCACTGGACACTCCAACTGGGGCTTATATTAAAATGTGTTTACTGAGCCACATGCACTATCCATTGGTCTTCTCTAAGTTACACAACAGCGTGTCTTCCAACAGGTCAAATACTGAAGCAGAGGGAGTAAAAGCTCCCCCTTGAGGCCCCCTTTCCCCGTCTCTGCACCCAAATCCTGCTTCCCACGGGGAGGTATTTCCTGAGTTTACTTGCAATGCTGGGGATCAAACCAGAAGCTGCACGAGCTAGGGGACCTACTACAGAGCTCATCTCTAGAGGCCTGAGATGGACAGGAACTTGATCTAGGGACTTAGATCCATCTGTGTTCAGCCACCTGACTGACTTGCCCTGGCAAAGGTCTTGAGCCTTTCTGTGATTACTCCACCCAGAATGGCCTCCCCTTTCGTCTCCTCACTCAGGGTGGAGGTTTCCCTTCTGGGAGGAGGGGCTCCTGTCTCATGATCTCTGTATCCTACGAGTAGGGAAACTAATCTGAGCAAAGTCATGGTTCAAGGTGCACCTCTAAGAGTAGAGGAAGTGAACGAGGGCCATGGGGGTTACTAATAAGCCAGCACCCAGAAGCTTCTCTATTTCAAATTAAGATCATTCCTTGGACTAGCTCCCCAGCAGAGGGACTGAGCACCCCCACAACACTCCAAGCCTGTGCCCTGCTCCAGTCAACTGCTCATGCCTGGTCATTTTGTCAGACAAGCAAGTCAGCTGATTGCATGGAGACAAAGGAACATTTCATAGACACACTCTCTCGTTTGGCAGTTGGAAGAACACTGCAGGCCTCAGGTTTTCACGGGACAAGTCTTTGTTCCCACTGAAAACATTGGGAAGGCTCCTGAGGAATGGGGTCTTTGGATTAGTTCAGGATGGACTTGTCATGACAAACTTTGAGACATTATTTTCAAACTTACAGCACCAGTGAACACAAATAATGATTGCTACCTGCTACCAAGCAGCTACTCTACAAGGTTTGTTTACTTGCGTCCTCTAAAGGTCCTGTGGGACAGCCATCGTCCAGGCCTACAGACGAGAAAATTAACACTCAGCAGTTACATAACCTGCCCAATGTCACACAGCCGGGAAGTAGAAGGACAGGAGTTGTGCTCAGATATATCTGTTCTGAGAGGCCAGATCAACTCAGTTTCCAAAGGATGGGAATGAGAAACCCACGTGGTTCCCAAGACCTACGAAACGTTGTTGAGAGCTGGAAGGTAGCTGAAGCTGTCCCCATTTCTGCCCTCTCCTTGCTTTCCAGAATGCAGCACCCTCACAGATAAGCCGAGAAGACTTCAACACCCAACTTCACATCTGCTTTCTGTGAGGTGATGTGAGGTATTTTAAAAAAAGAAGACCTCCCGAAGTTGCAGTGTGTGAGGAAAAATTATTATTTTTTAGGGTGGCAAGAATAAATATTTAATTAGACACGTTGACATTAAATTCTGCCTGGCCTTGCAACATCTCAGACAATAAAAGAAGCCTTTGTCTACAGGGCTAATTAGAGACTACTAGATTATTTTTACTAAAGCCTTTTGTACTATTAAGTGTGACAAATGCAGCAATGTGGTTGTGTAGAACAGCACTAGTCTGGAAATGTGAGTTCTAATCCTGACTCAGACATGAAGAGCCACCAACAGTCATTTGCACATTGTACACAGTTGACAGTGTTTTCACATACTTTTTACATGAGTTCAATCACCTTGGGGCAAATCACTTAACGCTTAGTGTCTCATGTCAAAACCTGGAAATAACATTACAACATCTTATGTCCTGTCCAGTTCTAACACACTACAGGGAGAGGAACATGTGTCTGGGATCCTCACAAACGTGTCTATAAATGAACTAGAGCACACGGATTTTAGTCTGAACATTTACATTTTCTACTCAGCTTCTGACAAATGCTACTTGCCTGAATTCAGGGCTAGTCATAAGATGTTTGCTTCCAGCTGTTTGGTACATTTCTGGAAAGTACCATTACAGCCCTAAGTTGGACTGCCATATGGGAACTTTGTTTTCTTCAATAGTTACAAGCATGCCTAAGTCTGGTTAGTCATCTAAACCCACAAAGAGCATGGGCTTGGAGACGTCCACCTTGACAATGGATGTGCTCTTAGGTCAGGCAGTCCTGGTATCTTCACAGAAATGAAACACCATTCTAACTCTAAGACACACAAATATCTCCTTCAAGGCTTGCTAATTCCTGCTTCTGAAACGAGGATGTAGCTCAGAATACACACACAAAACACACACACAAACACACACACACACACACACACACACACACACACACACACACACACACACACTTTACCTAAAAGCTGTCGGTAAATTGCAGGTTTGTCTCAAGATCAAGGAAATACAGTCCTATAAAACTATATAACATCTATCACAGAGCTTTAGGTCTGACTTGGTCCAATCATGCCTCTCTTCCTGATCTTAACAATTACCTTCAATAGCAGCTGGATAGGCGCACGACAGGTCTCAGTCATGTTTCTTAAGAGGACCAGTTTATAAAGCATTCAATCATTATCCCATAAAACACTGCTGTGGATTTCAAAGGCAAATTAACCCATATAAACGCCACTCTGATGTTCTGAAAAGGTACTATCCCATGGCAGACTGCAAAGGGAACATCTGCACCTCACACTCCCCTGATCTCTCTTGACACATTTTCTTGCTTAATTCAGCCCGGTCCACCCCAGTAATAACACTGCTTCCCAAAATACACTCAGTCCAGGAAGAGCAGCTCTCCAGCCCAGCTGTCTCCTCCTGCCCTCTTCGGGTATTTGGGAGAGCTATGCGACACAGAGAGGGACCAGAAGAAGGAATGTAACTCTCAGGCCCCAGAGTTCCCACCGCACCACAGGCAGGTGCATCCCGCCGAACCCCAGACTGGCATCCGAAAGAGCACAAACTCCACTGCTGGATGGGGGCTGTCATGTCCCTGAACTCCATCTCTATGTTTAAAACTAGGGCGACAGCCGTGTTTGCTACTGTAAATGAATCTGATGGGCATGGGGGCAGGGAGTGGCCCGAGGAGGCTGCCAATAGGCCATGAGTGAGCAAAGCCTAGGGGCGGAAATCGCTGTTTGCAACTCCAGAAACTCCTGATGAGTTTTAGGAGTGGACCATGCCCTTTGTAGCCTGGCGTTTAAAAAAGAGAAGAAAGAAATCTTTTATTCTTATTCATTAGAACTGCCTTATATTTACACATATTTTCTAACACTGCATTGAAATCTGGGAGAGGAAAAAAAAAAAGGACTCAAAGGAAGCTGGCAATGAGCTACACACAGTAGTTAGGAGCCCTCGAGTTGAGGCATGTCTATGAAGAACTTTCTGGCTACGAGCACAGACGAACTTCAGCTGAGTTTCTTACTGGCAAAAAGAAAACGGCTTGGGTCTCTCTTTCAACACTAGGTACGGCAAGATGGGCAAGTGGGTGGGCAAAGGCAACCCTGGGAATCCTACCAGCAACAGCCCCCACCAACCAGGCAACAGCCCCCACCAAGACTCGGAGCTGCAGGAGGTAGGGATACAGGTCTCAGAGCCTCCTTGAGAACTCTCAACCGCCCGTCCTCCTCACTCTGCTCATACTGTCAAAATCCACTGTTGCCTGGTTGGCCACTTCACCAAATTTACAGGTATCGGAAAATCAAGCCCTGCCAAAAACCCCTCATACAGACAGTCAGCACTTGCTGTAGCGACTACAGGTCGGTCTTCAAACTTCACACATGCCAAGGATGCAATGTGACTCTTGAAAGACATTTCAAGAATCCTGCAGGATGCTTATTCACAAAAGCGCACCGGAAGCACACGAACTGAAGCTCCCAAATCAACCATGCCCCCCCCCCTCCACTCCCTTCGCTTCCCGGTGGCCGGGGCAGTGGCTCAGCACCCGAGAAGGCCACCATGCACGAGCCCTGTGCACCCAACAGTAGCTGATCACAAACGCAGCTTGACCCCTCTTGGCCAGAACCTATTCCGAAAGCCGCGCCGGCTCTCTGCAGCTACTTAGAACTATCCAGGCCTGCTTCCCTAAACCAACCCCGTCAGGAGCGGGTTAGGAGCGGGTCAGGAGAGGGTGGGTAAGTTGGTCCCTAGGGTCCCAAGGTTTGGACGGACACAATGCCCCCCCCCCTCCCCCAGGTCTCCACTGGCTGCCTCCTCTGTCACTCTTTTCCTCTGGCATATCACTTGGGGAAACTAGAGGCCCGGAGATGCCAGGCGCCGGAGTAAAAGAGAAGGGGCAAGGGCAGGCAGGAGGGAGTTTGGAGGAAAAATACCAGGCCACGGGCAGAGGTGCGACAGCGCCACATTTAGAGGGGGGGGAAGAACCCCAAGGTGGGTCCGGAGGGAGGGAGAGCGGGAGGAGGGCAGGGTAGGAGGAGTGGCTGGGGAGGCCTGGCCCCGGAGGCCACCGAGGGCCGGAGACCGGCGGAATGGGACACGGGTGGGGGTGGGGGGCCGCGGGGGGGCCCGGCGGAGATGGGGAGCCCGGTTCCCCTCCCCCAGCCCGGCCCGGGCCTCCCGCTGACTCAGCCCCACGGCGACCGCGGCCTCGGCCCCGACTCACAGTGCGCGAGGCGGCTCCGGCGGAGGCGGCAGGGGAGGGGGACGGGCGGCGGGGGCGCTGCGGCAGCGGCTGCGGCTCCGGCCGGAGGCTCCGGGGCGGAGGGTCCTAGCAGAGGCCGCCGCGGTCTCCGGCTTCAACGCACAGAGACTGCGGGGGGGCGGGGGGGGGGGTGAACGAGAGCACTGCGCAGGCGCGATGCGGCCGCCGCTGTCAGCCCGAGCGGGGCGGGGCCAGGGCACCCGCCGTCTCCACGGCAACCGGGCGGCGAGAGGCGGACAACCCCTACCTCTACCTCGTCCTAGCAACGGCGGCGGGAGGTGCGGGAGACGAGAACAATCCCTCTAGATCGCCATGGCAACGAGGAGAAGAAACCGCCTGGTAAACGGACGGCGGTACCGAGGGAACGCTCTTACCTTGTCACCATGGCAACTGGGAACAGCCCCTTCCTTTTTCCTTAGCAACAGGGTAACAGTTCCTCCACCCTGACTCGTCCAAGAAGGAACAAGCCTTTACTTCCCGATCCCGTCGTAGCGGGATGATGGGGTCTTTCTTACCGGTTCAGCAAAGGCAAAAAGAAGAGACTACTTCTTCTCTTTGGCCGATATGGAAGGACTGAAGCCGGGTTTGATGGCCTCTCTTGCTTTATGGCTTCCAGTTGCAGTCTGTTACTCAAATCTTTACCTCAGTCAAGCATCCCTTTGAGCCTCCCGCGAGGAAGCCCGCACCTTTACCCCGAAGTCGAGCTAACAGAATGGGCATTGATACACATATTTGAGGGTTTTGTTTATTTGCCGCTGATGTTGATTGAGACAGGTCCTCCGAGCAGCCTGGTAAATTACAGGCTCACACCTATAATTCTAGAACTTGGGTGGTGGAATCAGGAGGGACTGCCAAAAGTTCAAGGTCATTCCTGGGCCACAGAGTGACATCCTCTCTCGGCAACAACAAAACAAAAACAAAAACAAAAGACAGGGACTCTTTTCTGTAGCCTGGTGGCCTTGAACTCACCATCTTTGATCTGCTATCCCTTGAGTATTGGCCAACCATATAGTCCCTTTCCCAGTGCATTTGCTGACAGCTCTTGTTCCTCCCCCTGGCCCACTAGCTGGTGTAGATTCTGTTCTTCACAGCCAGGTCCTTCTTTGACATACCCATTCACGTTCCCAAATTCCTTGTTCCAAGTCTGCTTTGAGGGAGCTCCTCAGTTTGGGATACATCATCTCCTTCCTCCCAACGCCTGCAGTCCTTGGCCCACACTGCTCTCTCCAGGGCCTTGTGCTTAACACCATTGAGATTTCATGGTTCTCTTTGTGCAGGGGTCTTCTGTCTCCCCATCACCCAGCCCTGACTCCCACGGATGGTCACCTCTGAACCCACCTCGTATCCACCTTCTTTGTTACACGCATCTTACAGCGCCATCCTTTGTTTACACTTCTGTCTCCCTAGCCAGACTATGCATCCTGGTGGGCAGGAATTCTGTCTTATTCATCAGCCTCCTCGGCATCTGGCATCACGCACGGAATGTGACACATAGAAGAATCCCACGAGCTGTGTATGTAATTGACTCAAGCAAGACAAAGGTTTCTCTTTTTCCTCACTTTCTCTGACCTAACTCCCTCAGACTCTCAGTCCACATCTTCCTCATTGTCTATGCACATATTTTGTTGACTACGGCTGCTTCTGTTTTAGCTGGCCCACACCCTTATCTTTTGATCTTCGTGCCAAGGCTCTAGTCATCCATTAAACCAAGACTCTTGCATTTTCTCTATCCTGATTCCTCCCTTCTTCAGTCACAAGTGTTTCCAGTGAGGTGTATGTTCCTACTGTCTGGAGACACCCTCCCTCCTCTCCTTGGTTTAGTCACCCTCTGTATGAACACAAGCATATTCTGATTACACCACTTTGGGGAACATCACTGGGTTCTTCTGGACATGATGATACGCCAGAGATGTTATATTCTCTTTGAGTGACTTAAAAGTTAGCCTTCGCCGGGTGGTGGTGGCGTGCACCTTTAATCCCAGCACTCAAGAGGCAGAGGCAGGCGGATCTCTGTGAGTGCGAGGCCAACCTGGTCTACAAAGTGAGTTCCAGGAAAGGCACCAAAGCTACACAGAAACCCTGTCTCGAAAAACAAAACAAAACAAAACAAAACAAAACAAAATTAGCCTTCAAGGTCTAATTTTCTCCTCCAACTCTCCCTGTCTTGCTCCCCTAAAACCCAGCCGGGACTACCCAAAGACTACTGCTACCAAAGCACCCCAAACAGGTCCATTTTCTCAGGGAAAAGAGGAGGCAGATTAGAGAGTAGGAAAAAAACAAAAACAAAAATGAAACCTAAAACCTGCCCAAAACATGCCAATGTAGTGAACCAATCCTCTCCCCCACATCTACAGCAATTTTCAGGAAAAAGTTCTGTTTGACAAATACTTCCCGAGAGAACTAGTTAGAAATGTAGGTACCAGTTTACATTTGCCCCTGGCCACAGAACCGGACACCCAAAGTGGTTCCTGTCCTGACTGTACCTTACGAGGTGTCTGGATGCTACGAAAACAAGGGTGAGATCAGATCTCAGGCTCAGTTTACTTTTCTGCCTTGTGAAGTTCTGGCTCAGCTCTGTCTTTGCAGGTGTAGACCTGAGTGGTGTAGACAACCCCTGAGTAATCCTGAGATGAAAGATTGTAACTTCATCCCACATGACCTGTAAAGCACGCTACTTACCTTGTCTCCCAGATTCTCTCTGTGCTAACATTTGAAGGTTTGCTTTTTTATCTGCTTTCTCACAGTGAATCACCATAACTTTTATGGTGTAAGCAATCATTTCATTATCTTAATTTCTGTGGGCTTGGAGTTTAGGGTGAGCTCGTTCGGATGGTTCTGGGGTCATTGTAGTCAAATGGTGGCTGGGGCTTGAACATCAGGAACTTTCTGGACCACCTGCTGCCTTCAGGGTGTCTCATAAGTAGCTTTTTTGGTTTTCCTACCACCTGGTACCTTCAGGGCAACTGGGCTGTTCACATGGTAGTTGAAGGTTCCAAAGGTAGATGTTCCAATGCACAGAAAAACGAAATCCCTTTTTATAACTTAGCTTCAGAATCCTGTTGGCTTAAAGACAAAACAAACAAACAAAAAACAAAAAACCCACTTGCCAGACAGGGAGCATAGATCCCATGTCTCAATGGGAGGAAGGTCAAAGTCATATAACAAAAATATGGAATATGTTTTTTGTATGTGTGTGTTCGTGTGAGTATATGCATGTGTGAGCATGTGCGTGTGTGAGTGTGTGTGTGTGTGTGTGTGTGTGTGTGTGTGTAAGCCTGAGGTCAGTATCAGTTGTCTTCTTTAATTGCCTCCTTTCTTTCTTTCTTTCTTTCTTTCTTTCTTTCTTTCTTTCTTTCTTTCTTTCTTTCTTTCTTTCTTTCCTTCCTTCCTTCCTTCCTTCCTTCCTTCCTTCCTTCTCTCCTATTTATTTGGGACAGGGTCTCACTATGTAGCCCTGACTAGCCTAGAACTTACTATGTAGATCAGGCTGACCTCAAATGTGTAGAAATCTACAATGCCTCTGCTCCCAAGTGCTGGGATTGAAGGTTTGGACCACCACATCCAGTCTCTACCTTATTTTTTGAGGCAGGATCTCTCTCTGGCCCCACTAGAGCTCACGGATTGGCTAAACTAATTGTCCAATGAGCTTTAGGGATCCATGTCTCCACCACCCCTGGCACTAAAATTACAGACGCATGCCACCATGCCCAGTGTTTACTTGGGTATTGGAGATCAAACCCAGATCCCCATGCTTGTGTGGCAGGCATTTTATCAACTGAAGCCCAATAAATATATATGACTAGGAGCTATGTTAAGACCAATAACTTGGACGATGTTATTTGCCACATCTTGACATCTGTTCACAAAATACATTCATCTCTTCCCTCAAGACCTTCAAGTCTGATTCCATCAGCCCAATGACAGATCTCATCTGAATCAGGTCCCAGTGTGTATATGGCTCTGGTCCTGTCTCCTGGGTACAAATCCAGGATACCAGTCCATCCATTAGTTGGAAAAGCTGTGAAGTCAAAAACCTCACCACCTGCCTCTTGCAAAGTCAACAGACAGTCATAGTCTAGACATGGGATTATTGATACAGACACCCTCATTTCAAAAAGAAAGGAAAGTGGAGGTGTACACTGTAGTTACTAGTTCATATCGACTGAAGTGTGTGTGTGTGTGTGTGTGTGTGTGTGTCTAGAAGACAACCTTGGGTGTTGTTCTCTAGGCATGGTTGACATTTTTTAATTTTTCAAAGACAGGGTGTTTCCCTGGCCTAGAACTTGACATGTAGGCTAGGCTGGCTGGCCACTGACCCACAGGGATCCACTTATCTTTGCCTCCTCAGCACTGGGGTTATACATGCGAACCACCACATGGTTTTGTTTTAATGTGGGTTCTGGGTATGGAATTCAGGTTCTTGTCTTACTAGGCAGGCACTTTCCTGATTGAGATCTCAGCCCAGATAATTTATCTTGATGCTCAACATATGACAGAGAGGTCCTTCTATTTGTCTATTTATTTATTTTGAAATAAGGTTTTAAGTAGCCAGATTAAACTCACTATGTAGTTGAAGCTGGCCTTGAACTCTTGATCCTCCTGCCTCTGCCTCCGAAGTGCTGGGTTACAGGTGTGTGCCACACCTGACTTCTCTCCTTATAAAGACTGAATGATGTGGCATTGTGTGTTCATATCACACTTCACTCATCCATTTGCCCATCAGTGAACAGTTGACTTGTACCCACCTTTTGGATATTGTACTATATGCTACTGTAAACACAGGTACACAAACATCTCTTTGAAACTTTGTTTTAAATTATTTGGGGGTATATTCTCAGAAGTGGAATTATTGAAACACAGGGTAGTTCTGTTTTTACGTTTTTCAGGGGAAACATGTCTAGTTTCTGGTTTTTGGTAGCTGTCATAATGTCTGTGAGCTGCAATCTCAAAATATTTGATTTTGTCTTTAACTTTGAGACTCTTTCATATGCTATTGGCTACTTGTACACTTGGGGGGTGGAGGGGAATGTCTCTTAGAATTCTTTTTCCCATTTTTGAATTATGATTTTCCCCCCTGTTGTTCAGTATTCAGAGTGTTTTCTGGCAATTAGCTCTTATCAGATATATAAATTGCAAATAATTTCTCCCATTCTGTGGGTTCCTTTTCACTCTGTTGATGCTGTTTCTTTTATGCACCAGTTTTTTAAAAAAAATGTTCATGGAATGCAATGTGTTCATGTTTTCTTTCATTGCCTGTTTGTTTGATGCTCTATCATGACATTTTTGACATTTCTTTTTCCGTTCTACCTTGTCCCATAATGTCACCTCAAACGCTGGGTGGTCCCCCGGGTTCTCATCACCACCATTCACCTGAAGGACCCTATCATCTCATAAAACTGAAACTCTGCCCTCCTCCAACAATAATTCCCCTTGTTCCAGACTACCGTTCTGTCTGCTTTCTTCTCTTCCTACACATTCCCTGAATGGTCTCATCGTTTCCTGTGACCTCTGGACCTGTGCATCTCCATCCTACCCGTTCTCCCGAGTCTTAGACTCTCTAGGCAGCCCTGACATCAAAAGCTAGTATGCTCAAGCAGATTTCCCCTCCCACCCACTGATACCCATTCTATAGTCCTAATGTTGTCGGTGGTGTCGAAAAGCCTGGTCGTGATCCTAATCCACCCTTTCTCCCTAGCCCCCAGGATGATTTTGTGTTATAATCAATTCTACTTCTGAAATGTCACCCATCTCCTTTGTTTCCTCCTTTATCTCTCTCACCGCGACCATCTCTGTATTATCTCACACCTGTCCTCTCTGTCAGTCTCTCCATTTCTGATCCACCCTCAGCACCATCCATTGCCTCACGGCTCTTTCTACAGCTAAAGCCTTTCACATAACCCTAGGCTTACATCCCCATGGCTTTCCCTCACAAACTGGCTTATGGCCAGAAATTCATATAATTCCCGCAGATGGAAGAGCTATAGAAGAGATACCAGTTCTCCAGGGTTTTGTTTTGTCTAGAGAGTAAGGACAACAATGTCCTTTTGTTTGTTTGTTTTCGAGACAGGGTTTCTCTGTGTAAGTCTGGCTGTCCTGGAACTCGCTCTGTAGACCAGGCTGGCCTCGAACTCACAGAGATCCGCCTGCCTCTGCCTCCCGAGTGCTGAGATTAAAGGTGTGCGCCACCACCACCTGGCTAATAATATCTTTTGCATTGAAATGGCATATGGAGTAGAAAGCAAAACCATAAGATTTTTGAAGATCTGGGGTTCCAGCTAAGATGTTCTTCACACAACACTGCCCCTGTCTTTGGGGGTACTTTAATGATGGAGTTTGGGAAGCACTTGCTTAAAGAGAGAAGTTCAGGCTTCTTCATACAGTAGACACACGATTTGATCCCTGGCAACCATTTTTATTTACTCTCCACTCTTCAGGTCCTTCCCATGTCAATGCCGCTCCACACCTATGAAAATAACTACTTGGAGTTGCACGAGCTAGCAGCTGTTTCACGGCTGAGACTTAAGCTGTGGGGTGCTCTCTCCTCAGGTAAACACCCACCCACTGCTCAACACCAGTTTCAGGGTTGCCTCCTCTGGCTCTGCCATGGCAGCGTTCCCCGTCACTTCCCAATAGTGGTGATGCTCCCATTTTCACATCAAAGCCCTGGAGAAGTTAATCACTTGCCTAAGATCACAGGGCTAGTGGATGTCAGACGTAGGCTCTGAACCCACAGCTAGCACCAGAACCTACACTTTCCCCTCCATTCCATTCTTGCTCTACTTCTTCTGACTACAACCATTTGTCAATCCATCTTGTCCCCAACGCACTTCTAAACGTAGGAGCTGCCCTTGGTTTACTTTTGCACTATCTAATGAAGGCCCAGTAGACGATCCGTAGGCACTTATTAAACAGGAGGTGGAACATTCAGTAGGCCAGACATAAATTGCTAGGTGAATGTATGACACCTTAATTAAATGTGAATCTCTGATTTTTCGTTTCTTCTCCTTCTCCTTCTCCTCCTCCTCCTCCTCCTCCTCCTCCTCCTCCTCCTTCTTCTTCTACTTCTTCTTCTTCATAGTTTAGCATGTCACAAACACTATTTGTGACATACTTATTTTTATGTGAAATTCAAATTTTAGTGGCTGTCCTGTTTTATTCATTGGAGATTGGTTTTGGAAAAGACAAGTCTTTTCTTCTTCTTCTTCTTCTTCTTCTTCTTCTTCTTCTTCTTCTTCTTCTTCTTCTTCTTCTTCTTCTTCTTCTTCTTCTTCTT